AACAGTTCTTCAAGGCAAAATTGCTGACACATTCCAAATTGTTGCCATGCAGATGTGTTACATTTCTGGTCGCATACAGTGAAATAAAAATCCTGTTTTTATATTATTAGGTAATTTCTCCACAGTATTCTTTTTTTTCTTCAAAATCTTCACCATACTGAGTCTTACCATGACAACAGTTTTGAATATTAACAGCCTCAATTCTGTTACTGCACTGATCATTTTTCCATCTACAGCACAAGCACCAGCCTGTAGGTTCTATAATTTTTAGTTGTTTCTTTTAAAATCCCTTGTTTTTGATGCACCAATATTATGTTCTATGTATGAAGACATTTCTTGTTTGCTGCAAGTCTTTATATGTCATAGAAATCCTCTTTTCAGATACTGCACAGCACTGCACAATGCTCCTTGCACTCCTTTAGGTTGTGTAGAAGTTATTGCACTGTGTATGTCCTCATGTGTATATATACTTTTATGTCTTCAGTTTTAACCAGTAGATTAGGTCAGGACTGAGCACTGTCTATTTATTTTACATACATGTGTAAAGGAATATTTAATTTTGAGTTTTCTCAGAAAATGCTTTCTGTGCATCAGAAATGCACAGTAAGATTTAGAATGCAAGCACTTTTGATGTGAGTACATGCAGACATTATGAGATTTTATGTTATAAAAGAATTTTACGGGGGACGACCATACTTTTAAAGCTCAAGACAAGCTATAATGCCCTACTTACCCCCAGAAGGCCTCCAACCCCGTCACTCCAACCACGTTGTGAAGATACTCTTTATCTGAGTTGTATTTCTAAAGCATCTCCTACGTTGCAGGTGGCATTAGAGCAGGAGAATAACATGGGGGCAGAAGGAGTGCGACCTCATATCATCATCATGCTGACTGATGGACAGGCTACAGTGGGCATCACACGTTCAGATAATATATTGAAGAATGTGAGGGAGAGGAACAAGGAAGGAGCATCCATATTTTGCCTTGGTTTTGGAAGGGGGGCTGACATGAATTTGCTAGAAAGAATAGCACATCAAGTAAGTATTTTCTGATATGTTTCTTACTTTCTTTTAACCAAATGTAAAAGTTGGTAATTAAAAGTCAAAGTTTGCACATATCTATATATGAATGTTTTGTTTCTAGACATTTTTTTGTTTCTGGATTACATTGTTAACTGTAGAAGTAGATCCTAGGAAATCATTATTAATATTTTTCCCAAAAAAAGTTTGTTTTCTGTTACTGTGGTCTTTCCTTAGCAGTTGTAAAATTAGTAGAATGATGAAAATTTATATGTCATAGAAATCCTCTTTTCAGATACTGCACAGCACTGCACAATGCTCCTTGCACTCCTTTAGGTTGTGTAGAAGTTATTGCACTGTGTATGTCCTCATGTGTATATATACTTTTATGTCTTCAGTTTTAACCAGTAGATTAGGTCAGGACTGAGCACTGTCTATTTATTTTACATATATGTGTAAAGGAATATTTAATTTTGAGTTTTCTCAGAAAATGCTTTCTGTGCATCAGAAATGCACAGTAAGATTTAGAATGCAAGCACTTTTGATGTGAGTACATGCAGACTTTATGAGATTTTATGTTATAAAAGAATTTTACGGGGGACGACCATACTTTTAAAACTCAAGACAAGCTATAATGCCCTACTTACCCCCAGAAGGCCTCCAACCCCGTCACTCCAACCACGTTGTGAAGATACTCTTTATCTGAGTTGTATTTCTAAAGCATCTCCCACGTTGCAGGTGGCATTAGAGCAGGAGAATAACATGGGGGCAGAAGGAGTGCGACCTCATATCATCATCATGCTGACTGATGGACAGGCTACAGTGGGCATCACACGTTCAGATAATATATTGAAGAATGTGAGGGAGAGGAACAAGGAAGGAGCATCCATATTTTGCCTTGGTTTTGGAAGGGGGGCTGACATGAATTTGCTAGAAAGAATAGCACATCAAGTAAGTATTTTCTGATATGTTCCTTACTTTCTTTTAACCAAATGTAAAAGTTGGTAATTAAAAGTCAAAGTTCGCACATATCTATATATGAATGTTTTGTTTCTAGACATTTTTTTGTTTCTGGATTACATTGTTAACTGTAGAAGTAGATCTTAGGAAATCATTATTAATGTTTTTCCCCAAAAAAGTTTGTTTTCTGTTACTGTGGTCTTTCCTTAGCAGTTGTAAAATTAGTAGAATGATGAAAATAACTGATAGACTATCCAGATTTTATTTAGTGTAAAGCACTTTAGTGGTGGGTCCATTGTAGGATTTATCATTACAGAACACATTCCTGTGATAAGTATTCTTTTTTTTACAAATATGACAAAAAAGATGCTAGGCTGGTTTATGTTCTGTTATGTTGATATAATCAGAAAATGCAGAATATTCTTATCTTTAATATATGTTTATATATATTTTCCTCTTTTCTGTTTCTTTCTTTTCTTTTGTTTCATTCTTTTCATTTTCTTTTTTCTCTTTTTCATTCTTTCTTTTCTTTTCTTTTCCTTTCTTCATTAACAATTATGACATTTATTTTTGTAAATTTTGTGTAGCAACAACTTTCTCAAGTATTTATGTTAATGCCAACTTTATGTTAATATATCAATCTTGAGATATTGATAAAGTATTATCTATGCTCCTGTCCTTGCTTGTTCTAGTACCAGTAAGTATTGAAAAACAAAGGGGCATTTGAAACTAGTAAGGAGCTAATGATCCCTTTTTTATAAGTCCCGAAATGTAAGTATAGATATGGAGGTTTTATCTTTATCATTTCATTCATTTTCACTTAAAAGCTTACCCAAAAAGGCATAGCATTAAATGTTTCTGTTTATTTACAAGTTCACATTTATGACATACCTTACTCTTCTTCTAGAACCAGGGTATTGCTCGCAAAATCTACGAGGATATGGATGCCGCAGAGCAGCTACAAGGATTCTACCAGGAGCTGTCTACTCCGCTTCTCTTAGATGTGCAGTTTAGCTATTCCAATGAGGCTGTGCAGATGAATAGTCTGAGTAGCACCCACTTCTACAACTACTTCCAAGTATGATGCTTTTTTTTGTGTGTCTGTGTGTGTATGTTTTTTTTTTTTTTTTGACAGTATATTTAGTTTAAAGAGTTTCATTTGATGGGGAAATTGAAGCCTGAATTTTAGAATTTAGAATTTGAATTTTAGTTCAGGTTGAATTTTGTCTTTCAGAATTTTAGTATATAAAATCAAACTCTGCAGAAGATATGGCAAAGTAGTGTTAATAGAGAACATCATTTTCAAAAAGAATTTCTGGGATAATTTTTGTATAATAACTTTTTTTATTTAATTTTTACTTTTTTTGCCTTCCCCTCTTAGGATCTATTTAATTTAATGATTAGTATCCTTATTGGTAGCACATACTAGCATAATATACATTTCAAAGTTGAAAACATATTCAGAAAGGACCATGCAACAGTATGAACAAATTAAAGTAATTGCTATAAAAGAATACTTAATTAGTACTGCAAGGCACAGCAGATACTCCGCAAAAAGCAGGGCAAGGCTTCAATCCCTTATATATCTTCAAATATATACACAATGCTGTGGCCTCTGAACTTCATGTGAACAATATAAACTTCTACTGTGGGCAGTTCGTTGTTTGACCCCCCACAAGGTCTGGCATGCTCCTCCAAGGGCCACAATTTTTAACTTATATTAATAAGTTATACCTTTAAAGGTCCAATTATAGCTTAAAAATACTCATAGAATAGCTCATTTTTTCTCAATTTTTGTTTGCTTTATTCACCGATCCACCCTTGCCCCCCCCTAAGAAAAAGCTGAAATGATGCCCCTATTGCCAATATCACTCAAATAGAAACAGCCCGAAGGTTGTTGGCCAATCCTATTACAAACCATTACCAAAATGTTAAAATATACATTGTCCCTTTCCCTAAAAGTAAGGATGATTTTTATTTCATCTTACAGGGCACAGAACTGGTGGTGACAGGACAAACAGAATTAGATAATTTCAGTGGAATAAAAGCCAACATCACTGGACAAGGAAGGAACGGACACTTCTTCATGGGTGTAACAGGCTGGAATACAGTCAACCCACCTGACAAGCATCTTCTTTCACACTTACACCTTGCCCCTACACCAAAGAACTTCATTGAAAGGTTATGGGCTTTCCTCAAAGTAAAGGTATGATATAGAATAGGTTTTGTGCCCTTTTTCCTCTGGATTCGAGTATGTTCTAACCTGCAATATGATATGATTTGTAGATTTTACTTTTGTATATCTAATTTATTCTTGTATTTAGGATCTGCTTAATGAAGTAAAAGCAGCCAGAGGAAATCATGAGAGAACTTCAGCACAGAAAAAGGCTTTGAAAATAGCTCTTGAGGTAAAGATTAGAAATACTGTACTTTCTTAATTTTCTTGTTGCTTTGTTATATGACTTTTCTTTATGTTCCTAGTATTAATGGCTACTGCTTTCCTACTGCTTTCTATATAAGTTTTTGGCAAGTTTTGATTACAATTTATATTTGCTGAACTTCTTTTTATCACCGATGTATGACGCTGATAGCCCATGTAACTTCCAACTGGACAAGGAAGACTAGATTACAATATTTTTTCTTGTACTTTTTTCTACTTCCAGCACCATTTTGTCACGCCACTGACATCGTTGGTGGTAGTACAGCCAGATCAAGAGAACTGTAAGGATTACGAGGATGATGACGAGGAAGAGGAAAAAGAAGAAGAGGCCACTATTGATCAAACAGCAATAACAAAAACGGTTGATAACTCGTCCTTCTCTGATTCCTTGGATACACAGGACTCAGTTGTCAGAAGTTTTGATGCTGCCTCTATTCAGGTAAAAGAATTCAATCCCCTATGGAGACTGGCAGCATTCTGAACTGGAGCTTGACTTACTAAGAAGGAGCAAGAATTCTTTTGCTTGACCAAGATTTTCACTTAGCTATGGAGATTGGATTAAATGGCTGGATATGATGATACCTGTCATCACCTGTATTGTAATGTAACTTATCATATAACTGTGATTAGTATTCTTTAATGGAATTACAATAGGAATATTCTACAGCTTATATAGATCTAGCTTCTTCTTTATCTGTTGCTTCTTAATTGAATTGAAAGACAGTTTATTTTGCATATTTATGAAATAGGTATGATGGACATTAATGATGAATTTGATTTCAGATTGTGATACAATTTATTATTATAAATGATGTCCTTTTGAATAGTCTTTTATTGAAAAGTTAAATCCCAAGTCTTTTAATGGCAGTACACTGATTTTAGGAAATGTATGAATATTATCTATTCATAATGAAGAATGCTGAGTAATGAGATGCATGTCATTCATAGACAAATATCTGATAGAATTTTAAATTATTAATGGTAAAATTAAAGATGAGACGATAATTTCATAATGCACTCCACATAATTTGGCTCTTCATTTTGAGATCATTTGATATTATAGCTACTACAAAGGCCATAAAGTGATTTGAATTTAAAGAAGAAAAAAAGTGCAAAATAACAATATCCCATTATATATGAGGACACAATTTACAGCAACAGAAGCCAAACCATTTCAGAGTGCCAATGATAAAATATTTTTGAATGAATTACAGTATAACAGAAATTATATATATGCATGCTTTGGTAGAAACTGTATTTGTTTCAGAGTTTTTCTTGACATACTCTTGCATTTTCCAGGTTGTCAGTAACGATGAAGAGTGGCAATCCTTTGAGTACGAACAACCTAGCAGGGAACACTCACATTTTGCGGTTGGTGCTTGGGGGGGATCAAGTGTAAATCTTCCATCAGTCCCACTGTTGATGATAACCATGATTTTACTTGCCAGCATTTTCTCAAGTCAGGTAAGAACTCTTAAATGTTGTATTGTGTTTGATAACATATTTTGGTTATTTTATCATGTAAGTCTTCTTTTCTAGTAAGTTTCTTACAGGACAGTATTGGTTCTAAAACACTTGCAACTTAGTTCCAAGTGCACAGTAATTTTTTAATAACCCAATAATAGCCCAATGAGATTTTTTTTCTAATTAAAGCATTACATATTCAGGATAGACCTATTAATACCATCCTGTATAGGTATATCCAATATGGAACATTAATGTTTTGAGTATTTAATGATTTATAAAAGTGGTGTTTTTTCTACTGTCAACCTATTCTCATAGATTTTAAAATTGGTTTAATATAGACTAACATAGATTCATAAACTGGCAGCCTTTTAGACACCAACATAGGCTTGTTTTATTTCAATTTTGTGCCTGATATTCTGTGGCATACAGATGCATATAATCATCGTTCAGGAATATATTTCTTATAATCTGAAAAATATTCCATAGGAAAAGAGAAAAGTACTTTCCGAGCTAAAGATATAGTTTGCATTTGTCATCCAGTGTATAGGTTGTGATTTAGCATGTTCAAATTGAACCAAGGCAGATTTTAGGAAAAGCATCCAGCCAGTTAAAAGTATCATTTGATATGTGTGTGTGTGTGTATGTGTGTGTGTGTGTGTGTGTGTGTGTGTGTGTGTGTGTGTGTGTGTGTGCGTGCGTGCGTGCGTGCGTGCATGCGTGTGTATGTGTGTGTGTGTGTGTGTGTGTGTGTGTGTGTGTGTGGTTTTATTTGAATATCAAATAAAACCAATAAAACTAAAAAGTTTTATTCTATTTGATAAAATTAAGTAATCCAGTTGTAATGTGTAAGGGGCACTTGTATGTTTTTCCACATTTTGTTTCTTATTTTTTTGTTAAATTTTAAGAAGACACCTGCTGTGACTTGAAGGTTGGAACTCAGTGGTGCATCTTCAAGTTGCACACTCCAGCAAAGGTTGATAAACACCAGCATGTATATTTTAGCAAGATTGAGTGTGGATGGCTTTTTATATGAGGGCTGGTGTGTATGTTTTATATTCACTTTTTTCAGCCTTGTACATCTTTGATACTTTCTAAGTATGCTTTCTAAGGATGATTTCACTTGAAAAACGTCAATTTGCAGGATACTGCCTTGTACTGTATTAGAACTAAAATTAATATATACCAAAAGATTTTACCTACTTGAAACACTGAGTCTAATAATGATTATTTATTTTATAATTTTTATAGGGAGAAATATTTATTTTGATGAGTTCTAAGTGGGAACAAAGGGCTGTAATGCCAGAAGACTGAATTGTTATAAAAGTGTTTAATCATGAAACTGTTTAGTTTTAACAGCTCTCTCTTGGCTTTCAAGCAGTCACAAGTTTTAGTTCATATTTCTGATACAATAGGAATACTACTAATAAAGATAAAATTTCATCTCTTGCAGACATCAGGGCTAAGGGTACATTTGCCAGACAAATGACAGTACTTGATAAAAAGTACATCATGATTACCACCAAGAAGACAAATCTGTGGCCTGTCAAACTTGAGGACCGTATGAATGTTAGTTGATAGTGACATAATCGCACTGTGCGATCAGACAAGAGATGT